CTCTCTCTCTCTCTCTCTCTCTCTCTCTCTCTCTCTCTGTAACTTTTTTTTTCCATGCAAGTGAGAGACTGATAGCTTGCCGTTCTAATTTCAAGGAAAGTTTCAAGGATAAGATAAACAAAAATCATGCATCACTTCTCAGAGTTGAATCAGAAAGCTTTTCAACGTTCCAGACATGAACCCAAAATTTACAGTTAGGGAGTGCTACACACTATTATGATTATTAGTACACTTTCCTTAACTGCAGTCTCACCCAGGTGGCACAAACAGAAGCAGACCAACTACCAAGTAAAACTGAAAACTGGTTTGCAGTCTATCAATGGCCCCTTGTGTTTTGAAAATGTCACTGGCACATTTCAAGGAGTCCCTGGGGCTCTGAAGCCTAGTCCAAATAATCTATAAATCACTAGTCACAGCAAAGCTTTATAATATTCTCAAGACAAGTATTAAACAGGAACACTAAGCAACAGTCACCCTTCAGTTTATAGAGTGGTTATACCAGAAGCTATCGGTTATATACTTAGAACTTACCCTCTTCTCAAAATGTGAGATGACCATTAAGAGTAGAGATTTGGAGCACTTCTGAAATCAGCTTATACAGAATAAAAAGGACAAGGTTGATCTTCCAACATGACCCAAAAGGAAAAAGACGAGGTAATATATAAAGTAATAGTTTCCAAGATGCTAACATCAGGCAATGAAGGAAATTAACTCCTTAGAGAAGGGCACTAAGTCCACAAGGGAGGATGTTCAGAGTCCACACAGGCCACAGCACAGTAAAGGGGAATGCAGGGAAGCCCAAGCAGACTCCTTGGGTTGGGGAAACAACTATAAATTAGGGAGAATGCCATAGTTCAAGTTCACAAGACAAAGTACAAGAGACAGTTAACTTCACAGAGAATCCCGGAGATCTGCAGTGGTTCTCCAGGAGGTAACAGTACTGATCGGCAAATGCATGTGAGGAAACCACACCAAACCCAGGTATGAACAAACCACCTGAAAGTATTAGAGAGAACAATAGTGGTCACACAGAGAGCCAGGAATAGTGTCTGTTTGTACCAGCCCAACTAGAAACTCTCTCAGCTCGGTGAGAACAGAGCACTCAGAACAGTATTGCCTTAGTACTAGGGAGGAATCAGTCCTAGACTAAATGCTGTTTGGTTCCTGTTACTTTAAAAAACTCACAGCAATATAGTCCGAAAGGATCATACTGTTTCAATGATTTAATTCTATGTTCCATTAAAATTCAAGCACAATTAAAGGAAAATAACAATATCCAGCACCCAATAAGACCAAATTCGCAATATCTGACATTCAATATTCAATATTGAATATCCGATATCCAGTATTTTAAGACATACAAAGAAAGAAAAATATCCATAATGACAAGAAAAATCAATCACTGAAACTGAGCCACAATTGATATAGATGTTAGAATAAACAGAATAAGATATTAAAACCGTTTCTAATGGTAATATATCTAAAATGTTCAATAGATAATAAGGAAGGTATGGGTTC